TCAAAATGTTTAGAAATAGACTTTTGAAATTAATTGTTAGTTTAATTAGCAAGTTGTTGAAGAATAAGCTTAATTTCTATAACCTTCGCATTCCATTCATTTTGTCTCGCGTAGGAGATCCCATACAGCCTTGCTAACAATCCTGTGGCGAAAACTCAGTACCGTATCCCCCCAAAAAAAGAAACACCAGAAGTAATAAAGAGGGCTCACCTTAGACACAACAGCCATAAGCTCTTCCTCCTCTTCTTCAGCTTGATCCCCAAAGGAAAGAAGCTTGTAGTTCCTGCACATTGTCACCAACCTCTCATCTCCTACGTCACCACAGAACAGACTCCAATCAACTATCTCTGCGTCAACTTATTCTGTTTTCTGCCTGCAACTTTCATCATTTTATCACCACATGTCCCTGCCCTAGACTCCCATGCTATCGATTGCATGCCATCAATTTTTCTGAAGATCAGTCACCTGTGCTGGGCGTTACTTTGTTGGAACACAAATACCCATCGAGTACATATACTGCTTGGATCTCAGCATCCTGAACATCTGATTCAGCGTATGCGTACAGAAAACAACCATGTGGCATCATGCCCATGAAGGTCCATTTTGCATCTCTTAGAGGATTTTTTTTCTTGACTGCCTGCCATCATGTTGTGGCGACAGCCTCTACAACTAGTGTGAAAGCTTAAAAGGCCACTCACCAGGTTTGACAATTTTGAGCTGAGAAGCGCAATGTGTAGACGAGGCGCTTGATCACGTCTGCCAAAATTTGCAATGCTACGCTGCCGCAGAAATGGGACAAATTTCAAGATGAACGCTGCTCCTTCTCCCTTCTGCCCGCACGCGCCCAAACAATTAGGGCATGACGGGTGCGTATAAATGGCCCTACGTACATGGCAATGCAGTAACGTTGGTCTTCTATGTAGATGACTCTGCTCTGAACGTTGCAAACAGTGGCACGTGAGATGACGAAAATTAATTAGCATGGCATGCGGACGCAACAAAAAAATGTGAGCGTCTTCTTTCCATTTTTCTCCCGTGAATTGCAGAGATGTGGGGCTAATGTGTCGGTGTTTCGCATGCGTTCGCGTCCCCGCGGTCACCGCATCGAGCAGACGACCGCCGTGGAACCCTCCTACATGTTCACGCACCGATTGTGTTCATCTATTCTACCGCGCCTAAGCCAGCGTTTCCAAACCATCCCACAAAAACAGGCAGAAGACCACAAAATAATGCTGGTCAACAAAACAACGCCACTCGCGTGCTCGGGGGTTTGGCTTGTTTGGGCACGTCATGCGCACGTGACCTCTTGGTCAGATGCCGGAGGGGGTGGGGAAAACATCTGGCTTGCGAATGCTATGCGGAGCAGTGGCAAGGGTTTCAATCGCCTCCTCTCATCCTTGTTTCACGCCGCTTCAAAAAACCTGTTTTCTCCGCTCATGATGAACAGATTAAAAAAATTGTTGAGGCAAAATGTTCCTCATCGGACACCCAACAACTTCCACAGTCTAACTAAAATTTGGTATGGGGCCTGGTGAGTGGCCCTTTAACAAACGGTGGCTATATCTGAAGCATGCTTGTAGAAGTAAGCTAAAAACTACTCAAAGAAACAAAAAATTCTCTGTGCTACCAACAGAAAAAACAGGTTGACTTCAGCAAAGCAGTGGTTATACTATACTCACACAGCATCTCGCAACACATCAAAAAGATAGGTGAAAGACATAGTGTCACAGGTTTCTGCCCACACTGTACATGCTCAAGGAACTATCCATAGCAGTTTAGCATGTGCGAACAGTAAACTTAATGCTTGAAACTAATTTGAAGTAAATAGTTATTTGTTCAAATAGTTTAAAAGCACACCCAAGGTGGTGTGAAGTGGGCGGTGTGAAGCAATCCTTCACACCGCCCTCTGTAGTGAAAGATAATATGAGCGGTATTGGAGGGAGAGGGTGCTTGCTCAGCGCCAGACCAGTCATTTCAGATCTCCTGAAAAAAAAAGTGGGGGGAAGGGAGGGAGGGCTGTTCGGAATTTCACATGAGCATATTTGTGATAATTCAACTAACCTGTGTGGCATTTCTTTGTAATTGAAACAAAGCATGTGCAAACATCATCCTTTTTGCTTCGAAGGAAGTGGAAGCAACATTGAATGGCGCAGGATTGAATAGAGCAGGATTTCTCCATCTCGTTTTTGCGCTGTTTCCCTCAGTATCAGAGGGTAATATGTTCACTTAACTTTCAAATAGGGCTTTGCAGCAAAACGGATTTCTCATAGATGGGTGTATTCACAGTAGAGCACCACTCCACTGCAGTGAAACCACCTTTACACCTGTGCCACATGGGCACAAAAAAATGACAATAACTTCCTAATGCCTTACAGGACCCCTAAACCACCCAGAGATCGAAATTCAGTATTAAAGAAAAAGTTGTGCACAAGCATACAACGAAAATGGAGTCAGGAGAATTTTTCGAAACGGTGTTGTAATAGCGGAGTTTGATTATCGAAATGCGGCCATCACTTTTTTCGCTACACTTCGTTGGTATCCCCTGCCAAAGCCGCCTTGCCCTCTCGTCGAGCGCCTCTCCGAGTCTTGCACGGCGTACATCATCGCCAACGCACTGCACGAAACACCATCTACTACCAGTTGCCGCGATTCTGTCCCTCTGTCAACTCAGTCAACTATGGACTTGTTGGCAAACTGCTGCTGCAGTGCTGGCCTGTACTTATAAGAACCGTGCTGGTATGAACCGTGTGTTGCACACACACCTTCAAAGCATCATGAACATGATGGATTCGTGCAGTGACACGCCATGCCAGAGCGCCTCTGCACGAGATGAGGAGCCACTGCCTTCTTCAGTTTGCAGCAACAGATATAGGTTGGTAAGTACGTTCTGCAAAGTTTGCCCACTCGCTGTTACCTGTATCGCGCAAATAGCAATATTAAAGCAGGTAGAACATGACAAACAATAACACAGCAGCGAGAACTGTTGTTTGCAGACTAACCGGAAGTCATAGGATCTTGCTTGACCAACCACAGCATCAATGTGCTCCCTGTAACGTCTCGTGGAAGCAGGAAAGTCTCGGAGAGGAGGAGAAACTGTTTCTTGGAATTTGTGGAGTGCCGGCGACTCATAGCACTGCCATGTGTAGTATCGCTGATTGTGACAGCATTTGGCACATGCTGCACGTTTTATCTAAAATGCTTGAAAAATGTCAAAGGTGGTTTAGAGGCCCTTTAATATTTCATGCCACTTGCACGGTGGCACCAGGGTTATCAAATGGTATTCAACTAGATAACATTCGTCATGTAATGCCTTCACTAGAAATCGTTCGACTGAGAAGTGCCAACTCTCGGTGCCAAAGCTAGTTCAGTGTAGTAAATATAAAACATTTACACTATCATTTATCGTGTAAAAAGTAAATGACAGTACATGGCTTGAGCAAATATTTGAGCACTTCGAGTATTCAAACGGGAATTACAGCATTCGAACTCACTTCGATCATTGGGAACTTCGAAAGGTTCAAAATGAACAAATGGGTGTATATTACCACGCCCACTGTGGCATGATTTTTGTTGGTTTGGTTTTAGGTACAAAGTGACCTACGCTATTTCACACGCTATTTCTGATTTCTTGTGGGTGGACCGCAACCACGAATGGCGACTCGCGTTACGATCAGGTGCATGCAGTGCGCTATTCTAAAACTCCCTAAAGATATAAATTATCCTAAAACCGCTTTGGTGTTTCTGTCCAAAGATTCTAGTAATGTTCCTGTCGATCTGGGTACCTCGGCTATACTTTGGCGTAGAAGTGTGGCAGCTTGGGCTAGTTGGTATGGCATGACGATAGTTATAGTGCGAGAACAAAACAACGACACAGAGACAAGAAGGAAGGTCCTTTCGTGTCCTTCTTGTCTCTGTGTCGTCGTTTTGTTCTCGCGCTATTACTATCGTTATACTTTGGCATTAAGTTTTCAGCTGTCCTTGAGCGAAGCTTCGACCCACGCTTTCTCGGCAGTGGCTACACCGTCACATCCGTTCACGTGTTCCCAGGAAGACATATATGCGAGCTCTTTTGACAGAAACAGATTTTGCTAGTTGTTTTCGATGATGCGAAATTTTGAGAGATACAAGTATGTTCGCCCCCCTTCGAGACTCACACCTTTTACTATATTTAAGCAACCATACCCTCGGGTGTTCGGTCACTCCGAGTCGGTATGAGGCCGCACAATGCCTAGTTTACTGTCGTTTGGTGAGAAAAAGCGGGGCAAATTAATAAGCGCCACATCCCTGCCCCCCTTTTCATTGTGGAAATTTCCCAGATTCAGAATCCTTGAACTCGGCAGGTATGGATCGGCATCGATCTGACAAACTCCCCATTTCAGAAACAGCAATTTGGCGCGAGTTGATATAGTTCCGTTTTTCCAAACTGCATGGGGAATAGTTTTACTGCATCAACAAGCAAACGAAGTGCGAGACTCGTAATTCTCTTCCGTGCTGGCTCATTCCCTATTATGAAAATAGTGAAGCTAAAGTGCAGATTAGACATGCTTGTTATAATTGCAATATGCATGTACTATAAAAGTGCAATAAAAATTAGTCAATTTAATTTAGAGAGTAAAAAATTTTCAACATTGCATCGCACTTTTAGTCCTTGAAAAACCTGTGACAGGCCCTAGAAAGTCCTTGAATATCCTTGAATTCTTGCTTTGAAACACTGTACGAACACTGAGAGTCGTTAAAATGCATATTTATATTACATTATTACCCTACATCTGCTCATTTCAAACTCAACTGTTATTCACACCACAAGTTCAAATGCCATTAAATTTACCCGTGCGGCAGCTCGGTCGCAAACAATGTTACTTAGGAACTTAATTCCCTTGCTACTGATTATAATTCCTTGTGGCCGTAAAGCAAGAGTGCTAATTCTATCGCGAGTGCTGACAAATCACCAGATGAAGAAGGTGAAGTACGAACAAGCACGAGAGAAGAAACAGGGACATCATAGTAGTAGCAGGGTCTGGATGGCCTCATACATACGTGCAAATAAAAGTCTTTTTTAACTACCTTGACAGAATAGAGTCCTTCCAAGGCTGCTTCACGCCATATCCCACACAAGAGTATTAAAGGAGGTCTCATATGATTCATATATGACTACTCGTTCATTTTGAATACTTGAAGTAATTTAAATTCATGTCGAAGTGAATTTGACTACTGTAATACTCGAATATTTGCACATGCCTAATAGCAGTAAACATAAACCAGACAGGGAAGAAACAGTGTACA